TATGTTTTCTTCCAGGTCATTGATGATAAATCATGCATGGGTAAGAACTGATCCCAACAGAACCCCAATAGACACACAGCTGCTAGATGATGATTCCCTGTTTACAGTTACATTTTTAGACCTGTCATTTAGCAAGGTTTTAATCCATTTAATGTATGCTGTGTTAATTTTGCACAGTCTAGTTTTTAATTAAAATATTGTGCAGAATGCTTTATGGAAGAGTAAGTATTTTACATCAATGCTATTATTACTTTTATAATCAAATTTACAATCTCATCAAAAACAGATATCAAGTTAGTTTGACAGAATCAATTTTCCATTATGCCATGTTGATGTGCATTAATTATAAAACCCTCCTTTATTATTTTATTAATTAAGTCCTGTGTAAACCCTTCCATTATTTTGCTTGGGATCGACATCCAGCTGAGAGGCCTATAATTAACTAGGTCATCTCATTTATCCTTTTAAAATATTGGCACATTAGCATTCTTCCAGTCTTCTGGAACTTCCTGCCTGTTCCAGGAGTTATTGAAAATCTACATTAATGGTCCTGTGAGCGCCTCAGTCAGCTCTTTTAAAACTCTTGGATGCGGGTTATCTGAACCTATTGATTTTAAAATGTTTAACTTTAGAAGCTACTGTTTAACATCCTCCTGAGTTACTATTGGAATGGAATGTGTTTAATCAACATATGATATATCTGCACTACCTATTTTTTGTTCCCAAATACAGAACAGAAATATTTATTGAACACTTCCATCTTTTCTGCATTATTGATAATTCTACCAGTTCCATTTAGTAATGGACCAATACCATAGTTAGAGTTCTTTTTGTTCTTCATATACTTAAAAGCCCCTTCTTATTGTCCTTAACTTTGCTGACCATAGAGGGCTCCTGCTGTCCTTTTACTCCCCTTATCGATTTTCTACAATTTCTAGCTTCTGATTTATATTCATTACTATCGACTTCCCCTTTTTTCTTTTTGTTATATATATGGTTTTATTTTAATTGTAATTAATCGTATTGCCTCTATTTCTCTTCCAAGTCAGTTTTTTTTTAACGAGTGTGGGCTTCTTTCTCAATTGGGGGATTGTGTCTTTTTGGGCATCTAGTAAAATAATCTTCAACAGTTCTCACTTATCATTCACATTTTTCAGTTTAAATTCTTTCTCCCAATTCATTTGGCTCATAATTGTTTTCAGTTTTGTGAAACTGGCCCTTTAAAGCACCAAGAATATATATATCCCTGGTCTGGACTTATTCTGTTTGCACATAACAATCAAGCCATGATCCCTTAAACCTAAGCTACTACTAATTTTTAGTTCTGTGATCAGTTCTTCTTTATCTGTCAAGATGAGGTCTAATAAAGAATTCCCCCAAGTTGGATGCAACGCTTTCTGAGTTGGGAAATTGTCATCTATAATATTTAGAAATTCCGAGGATGTTTTAGCAGCAGCAGCATGAGACCTCCAGCATACGTCACTCAAACTGAAGTCCCCCATGATCACACAGCCTTTCCCCCTATATATTATAGACAGGCACGTGAGGAGCCTGCACATCTCCTCCAGCACACTGTGCTCTGAAACTCTCCATTGATGCACAAAGAGGTGCGCACTGCACACCCTGACCCTATCTGCTGCTGCCTGCGGAGCTGCCCTAGAGATTCTTGGATTCTCAGGATTGAGCCAGATCATGATGCCTGGTGTGACGCCATCAATGGTTGGTTACTGTGGCTGGTGCAGTGGTCCTCAGCATCCTGTTCCCTAGTGTGATTTGGGGGTCAGTAGCAAACACCACTGATACCCCATCTTGTGCTTTATCTGTTAGGACATTGATCCATAAGTAGTCAACATTATTTTCTTCTGAATTGCCAGTGGTTCGGAGACAGGCAATGCCATTTTTGACAGAGTGCCACTCCCCCTCCCCTTTTGCCCACGTGAGCCTTCCTAAATACTGAAGGTTGTAACCGGTGAATTTAACATTCCAATCATGCAAATCAGCCCTCTAGGTTTCCGTAATAATACCAACTAGATCAAATGTATGGGTTTAAAAGAGCAATTCCATTTCCTCTTGTTTGTTACCCAGGTTCCTAGCATTGGTGTCTAGGCAATTCAAGAATTTCTTTTCTTCACATCCTTTGGTTTCTTGGTTAATTTTGTTCTCAACATCTCGATTTTGTGCTAATGAAAGCCCGTTTGTTCTCCCATTAGTTTAACACCCTCCAGACTCAGGTTGGGTGAATTTTATGGCAAATAGAAATTTTGCTGAAAAAATGCATTTCTCAGGGTTCCAAAATAGTCATGAATTTGGGTCAAATTTATTTAATAGTTTGGGCTGAAAAAATCTGAAAATACGTTTCAAAAAGGTCAAAACATTTCATTTCAACTTTTAATTCTGAAACAGCATTTCAGTTTCATTTTTGGCCAAAAAAACCCAAGCCCACAAAAAAGGGTGCAAAACACCTGAAAATGGCAGAATCAAAATGAAAAACTAAAAAAAAGGAAAAAGAAAAAAAATAGTTTTGAGTTTACCAGAAACATTTCAGTCCATTCAAAACAAATTGCTTTTTTGAGTTTTTCGATTCAATGTAAAAATGAAATTGGTTTTGGTTCGAATTGAACTGGATGTTTTCAGATTTGGGGGTTTGGCTCTGAATCAAAACTCCATTCTTTGGTCAGCTCTACCCCTTACTACTCCAGCCAGGGCAGACGCCGGGCCGCTGCCGAGCTCCGGGTCTGCTGCTGCTGTTGGGAACTCAGCATGGACATACATTGCTCAGGTTAGACCTGACATCAAAGACATCTGCTTCGCCAGCCTAAGTCTGTCCCATCCCATTGCAGCCTCCTTTTCGTGGGTGCCCTTGCTCAGAACCACAGGGAAGGGCCGCCCCAAGCCACCTCCACAGGTCCCTGCTCAAACAGCACAGGAGAGGAGGAAGGAAAGGTTCTACAGGCATCATCAGCCAGCCTGGTCCCAGGGGCTGAGGCCCTGTGCAGGGACATGGCAACACCTGCCCTCAAAGCACAGCATCATACTAGAGGGCACCTTGCTCAGCACACAGGACGCCTCCCCCAACCCATCCACAGCCACCATCTCCTCAGTCCCCTTGGTGTAGCATGCTGCCCCGAAGTGCAGACATCCCATTGCTTGGTACATTTAGACCTGGACTGGATATAGTGTGATGGCAGCCATCTCAGCCAGCACTCCAGGGGCTGAATGGGGACCTCCAGAGTCAAGGCATAAGCTGCTACAGCTTGAGCTAAAGAGTCAAGTCCCTAGGCAGGGCCCGTAACGACTCATACCCTCTGTGGATTGGGCACAGAGGGGCCTATAATACATGCTCACCAGTTAGTTATCATACAATGTCCTGTAGGCAGGGCCCCAGAGCCTCGGCCTCTGCAGCCCTTAATAGCAAAGCTGATGGAGCTACATGGAATCCCCCAGCTCAGGATCTGGCCCAATGGGTGTGTCCCACGCCCCAAGGTACCTCCCCAGCAGGGGAATTTCATGCTTATGGTGGGGATTTCAAAGGCAGCGCAAGGGCGCTCTGGGAGACGAGTGTCCAACGCCATCAGGTTCCAAATGAATTCCCAGGTGATGGCGCCCGCTGGATTAGTCATTCCACATTCAATTGATTAAATTCAACAAATCTGCCAGAGAATCTTCAGCCCCTCTGGTTCCTGCAGAGGCCCAGGGCCTGGCCTGCCTGAGCCCACCGAGTCCTGGGGCTTTGCCCACCTGTCACACCCGAGCCCGTGGAGTCCTGGGGCCTTGCCAGCCTCTCAGAGAACAGGGGTTTGCTGGCCCATCATACCAGAGCCCACAGGGCTTGCTCCAAGGAGGTCAGCTCTGCTGCCACACACAGGCCCTGGCCATAGGGAACAATCCTGCATGGGCCCCAGGTGTGAACTAAAAGGCCTTTTCTATCTAATTTTCCTAGCTGTGTAGATTTCAAGGGCCATTCTGATCATCCAGTCTGAGCTCCTGCCTCGCATAGGCTGGAGTCAGATGCTTCCTCAGGGATTCCTGTATCCAGGATAGTGCCCTGGGTCTGATGGAGACCAGAGACGTCCATCTCTAGGGACAGATCTCAGTTCCACCAACCCTGGTCCCCGACGGTGACACCCCCCTGCAGCCCCAGCACCTGCTTAACTAGCCCTGCCTGCTCAGACACAGGCCTAGCTGCCGTGTGCAGAGCAGCCTTGTGATGAGGGGAGGGGAGAGCTGGCTGCTCCCCGGCTGGGCAGGCTGATTGCTGAGCACAGCCAAGGAGGCAGCCCCAAGCCATCTCTTGAGCCAAAGCATCAGGTTTCTGTCACCTTGCCCTGAAGGCTGCTGGGTAAGTCCTGTGGCACAAATAGACACCCAGGCAGTATGGCTGAGCAGCCCCTCTAATGTTCAGAGTCCCGGTGGTTCAGGGCAGGCTCACAGCCCTGGCGCGGGCGGCTCCTCCTGCTGCTGCCGGACTATGCTAGTCAGCACTGACCAAGCAGTTATTCAGATTCATACCAAGCAGTGGGGCACATACAGCAATGCCCGCAGAATAACGCCAGCCACTAATGCTCAGCTGTGTAGATTGATGGAGGCTGGAGTTCAGCAGAGCGCTGGCTTCTCCTTTGTGAGCTTGGAATGGCTGGGCAGGAAACTGCTCTGCAGAATCCTGGGGAGCTGGGAAATTCCCACCCATATGTCATGTAATGAAAGAGGTGGCAGCGCTGAGGCAGGGAGCAGGTGACTGAAATATCTTTTGGAAATTTCATTTGAGATAACAGGATTTGTGCATATCGTTTTCTATTAATAAAATGATGGACTTTCTTTGGGTTTGTATTGTCCATGAGAGGGTTTAATGCAAGATGTGCATTTTGGGGAAAGTCTGGACCTGGGAGTTTGCCGGTGTCACTCTGCAGTGTAAGTCAAGAGTGGCTGGCTGTAGGAGAGTCACCAACAATATTTCAAAAATAAGAGACATAATAATGATAGTAATACTAAGCAGCACTCACCTACGTTTGCCGGGGAATTTCTTGCTGTTCTTTGCAGCACTCAGCAACTCCCAATCTTGTTGAGATGAAAAATAAGGGTGTAATAAGGGACTGTTGGCAAGCCTAGGCTGCAGCACTCATGTACTGTACACGGGAGTAACTTATATGCAGGAGGCTGGGTGTGGGCAGGCCAGGAGTGGTTGCTCTCAGAGCGAAGCCATGTAAAAGGCTCCCCAGGTTGGAGAACTGAGTGGACACAGTCCAGACTGTAGCCTGGGGAATGTTACAGGCTGGTACTGGGGAAACACCACCAGTTGTGTCAAGGTGAGCTGTAGGCTATGATAAGTGGGGAGCACTGGTCGTTACATGGGCCATAGTCACCCCTGCTCAATTCCTGGGGGGCAGGCAGATCACTCTGAAGCCAGGTTGCCACCTCTGGCAACTAGAGCAGGGCCAGGCACTGGGGAAGGGGAGGCAGTGCAGGCGGAGGAGAGGGAAGGAGGATACCTGGGTGGGGTCACACAGGAGCACTCAGCTGGCTGAGTGACCGGACCCTGAGAGGGCAGAGGGACTGTGCAGAGGGCACTCCCCTGACATGAGGATGCCAAGGCCCTGAGAGACATTAGTTTAGTTCTGTGGCTCCCATCACAGTGATATCTGGGCACAGCACAGATGGAAATGGCTCAAGTCAAATCTCACCCATTAACTGTCACCTCTGCCCCTCCCTCAGGGTAATTACCATTCTCCAGTGAATGGCCACATTAACAAACAATTGGGGCGAGCAAACCCCTCGGCACTTAGCACCGCCCCGGGACCCAGGTGAGCAAGGCTGACCCCTAGCTAGCATCTCTGCTCTGGTGGGTTTTACAGGGGGTGCCAAAGAACTGCAGCTGGGGATGGCGCGTGAGAGCAGGACTCAGATCAGGCTCAAGCCATGCCTGCTGAGCTGCTCCCCAGCCCAGCCATCGGCAGAGAGGGCAGCTGGGCGAGGATGTCAAGCAGCTCCTACAAGGCAGCAGTGCCAGCCCCTGTGAGCTCCCTGCAAGCAGCTGGACCTTCGCAATGGAGGGAGCTGGATGCCACGTGTGGCAGGAATCCTGCTCCGTGGGGTCTGGCACTGAAAGGAGAGCATGCGCGGGGGAGTTTCCAACACCTAGGAGGGGACCACGGGCCTCAGAGAGGATGAGAGCTGTGATTCTAGTGCTGTCGGGGGTGCTGGTACGGTAGTGCGCTATGGCTGGCTATGCGTGAATACCAGTGAGTGGAGAAGGGGCCAGGAGACGTCACTCGGCACCGTGCAGTGCAGATTCTGCGTTTTGGAAATGCAATAAAACTTGTTGTGCTTCCTTTGGCAGCAATTCCCATCACGTGTGGCCAGCGGCAGTGCCGTGTTGCCCGTGCTCAGAGCAGGGCTGGGTCCAGTCTTTGGCCGGTGCCCCCCAGCTCATGTATTTTAACTCACATGAAAGTGGCAGAGCTTTGTGCTAGTCACAGCATCTGGCCTGTCTGTGTGAATTATGCTGCGGCAGATGGTGACTCAGAGTGGGGCTGAGCTCCCAGCTCCGTCACCCGGCCCCCGTGCCAGGGTGAAGCTGGGCGGGCACTGACAGGCCCATCAGATGATCACATGCCCACTTTGCTGCTGAATAAATGAGTCCAGTAAACCAAAGACAAAGAATCAGAACAATCAGTGAGGCAAAGGACCCGGTGGGTGCACAGCCTCTAGCTCCCAGCCACTGCAGGCTTTTCCCCGGGGGGTAGTTTCTAGGGCCTGGTCTGCAAGGGCAAGGTCAGCCAGGGAGTAAATTTAAAGCAATGAGTTAAGCTGGAGTCAAGGCTGTGTGGGCCCCCCTGCAGGCGGTTTAAAGCCACCTGTTCCGGTTTAGTGAAGCCCATTAAGTCACTAAAGTGGAAGAAGCCACAGTTCAGTGGATCTCAGGCCTGGTCTACACTACATAGCTAGGTCGACGTAAGGCAGCTATGTCAGTGTTTACACTACAGGCTTGACCTGCCGCTGGAAGTGCCCTACTACACCAACATAGTAACTCCACCTCCATGAGAGCTGTAGGGCTTATGGCGGCATAGTTAGGGTGATACAGTATCTGTGTAGACACTGCGTTACTTACATGGGCTGTTGGCTGTCTTGTCAATTTTCAGGGTTCCATGCTGGAGCTGTGAAATTGACAAGAAACCAGGGCAGCTAAAGCCTGGTTGCCCCCGGCTCCTGCTGCCAGCTGGGATACAGTGGCCGTAAGTCGACTTAAGTCTGTCGTGCAGACATGCCCGTAGAATGTCCACACGGGCAGCTCAGTTGGTCTCAAAGCGAAGTCAGGTTGTTTTGGTTCCATTTCTCTTTTCAGGCTAGACCTTTGGCTTAGTGTCAGGGCCGGCTTTAGGCACCAGCAAAACAAGCAGGTGCTTGGGGCAGCACATTTGCAGGGGGCGGCATTCTGGCCATCCTTTTTTTTTTTTAACTCACTTCCTCCCCTCTCACAACGCTGCAGAAGCGGAGAACCCATGGGACCCTGGGAGCTGTAGTTCCTTGCCTAGCTCCCTGCCTATAGAGCCAGCCCTGGAGCAGGGAAAGAATTACATTTCCCAGCAATCCCTTGGCAGCTATCAACAGGAAAGGGAGGGGGAGGGAGTGAGGTAGCTGAGCCATGCTGCAGCTTGCTGTGAATGGAGAGCTGGCTGCTAGAACGGGGTGGCACTGTGAGTGGGGGACAAGTGTGCCCAGCCCAAGGAGTAGAAGGCTTTGCCCCAGATATCCCCTTCAGAAGACTTCCCCAGACTGGATTAGGGATACTGGTGTGACCTCACCTTGCAGCCCCCAAAGAAGGAATTGGGTGGACTAAAGGGACAGTGCACCTCTCTATCTGAAGCCTAGCAAGGGAGGTACGTGGATCCCACTAGTCTTTAAAATGAAAAGTAAGGGAGGGGAGGCTCTGCTAGAGGACCTGGGCAGCTTTAGATACAGTACCGGGCATGTAGGAGGATTTGCACTTCTGAGCCATGGAAGCAGAAATTGACTTTTCCTTTCCAGATATAGCTAATATTCAGAAAGGGAATCTAGAACCTGCCTTCCAGATTTGAACACCCTCAAAATTCAGGAGTGCTCAAGCTCCATTTGGGCAGCTGTTACTTCATTTCTCCCAAATCAAATATACTGATCCACTGTAACTTGCTGTAGAAAAAGTAGGATACAATTGAGCAAGCAATGCTTCCCAGTGATTTTTAGGACTGGAATTGCTATTTTCAACAGCCATTGTCCTTTTTTTTTTTAAGTTTTATTTGTTTAAAAGGAAGACAGTGATTGCCTTGGCAAATTCCCTATAGAAACAAAGAGTGGAACAAAAGAATAATAAAGGCACCTCAACTTTTCCTCATTTCTGTAGGACAGTCTTATAATATGCATCCAGACATCCTCCAATCACACAAGCTGAAAATTGTTCCACTTTACTGCAGTTCTGTAACCATATGGGAACCAATCCTGTCTGTGTTCTGTGCACATCCAAAATTCCTGCTGAATGACCCGCCCTGGTCTGGGACAGCAGGAGGGTGCAGGTTGGGGGGGAGAGCCCAGGGCTGGGGCAGCAAGGAGCGGGGGGGGGAGCCCAGGGCTGGGGTGGGGGGCAGCCAAAATTTTTTTGCTTGAGGCGGCAAAAGACCTAGAGCCAGCCCTGCTTAGTGTGCACTTTCAAATACCCAAAGTGGTGGGCATCTTGGAAACCCTCCCAGCTGGATCCATCACACCCTTACGTCATTGGGGAGAGAGTTAGATAAGCTGGAGGGTAGGGATAGGGTCCAGAATGACCTAGACAAATTGGAGGATTGGGCCAAAAGAAATCTGATGAGGTTCAACATGGACAAGTGCAGAGTCCTGCACTTAGGATGGAAGAATTCATGCACCACTACAGGCTGGGGACCGACTGGCTAAGCGGCAGTTCTGCAGAAAAGGACCTGGGGATTACAGTGGACAAGAAGCTGGATATGAGTCAAAGTGTGCCCTTGTTGCCAAGAAGGCTAACAGCATATTGAGCTGCATTAGTAGGAACAGTGTCAGCAGATCGAGGGAAGTGATTATTCCCCTCTATTCGGCACTGGTTAGGCCACATCTGCAGTATTTCAGAGTAGCAGCCGTGTTAGTCTGTATCCGCAAAAAGAAGAACAGGAGGACTTGTGGCACCTTAGAGACTAACAAATTTATTAGAGCATAAGCTTTCGTGGACTACAGCCCACTTCTTCGGATATA